CGGGGGGTACCCCCGCCCTCCCACCGAACAGGAGCTGTGTTGATTAATGGCTGGCAAGAAGCAGCCATTGATCTCACCAAGTCATCAGGAGAAATAAGCACCACCAGTGGCATTGGGACAGGTGAGGCTGTACTCGCGCCAGGGATCAGCAGTCATAAGCTGCCACCGCCCCCGATCACAGCACCCTTACCAGGCTCTGTGGGAATCGACATGGCTGGGATACTACAGGCCGGGCTCATCCATCCTGTAACAGGGCAAATAGTTAATGGGAGCCTGAGGGGAGATGATTCACTGAGGAGGAGGAGAGGGAGGAGGAGAAACGTGGAAGCTCTGTACTCTGAGTTCACCAAGAGCCGAGGACTGCACCTCCCCGAGTCACAGGTGGGTAGAGGGCGGAGGGCCTTTTCACCTATTCCCTGTGAGGGCAGTTATAATTGTTGTGCTTCAGTGTGACAGAGGGAAACCACGCAGGTATTTGGGGGAAAAAAGTCATAAGTTGAATAAAAAGGAAAAAGAGGAAAATCCTTTTCTCCGCTCAGAATGTCCAAATGTTGAAACCTGCACCTGTGTGTGTTTCTTTCTTCCTATAGGGTCGGGTGGAGGTGATCAGCCACTCCTCAGTCTCCTCCTCCACCTCCTCGCCGTCCCCTTCACCCTCAGAGCGAGCCGCGGGTCCTCCCACACCGTCCTCCTCTTCTACTCCCACCCCCACACAGACGCCACCCCAGCCAGAGATCGTAGCCATTGACCGAGAAGCAGCCAGCAAAGGCATGATTGAGTGGCTGAGACAGAACCCGGGCTACAGTATGGATCTACCCACGTTTGCCCACGTAAGGTTTTTCTTTGTGTGAAAACACTGGAGGGTTGTGGTCTTTTCTCCATTTATCTTACCATTGCTTGGTGCAGCAACAGTACCACACATTTTTATATATAAACTCAGAAGCTGTGTCTTGTTGACTTGCTCTTTTTTCGCTCCACCCTCCTCTTCCTTGTTTCCCACTGTTCAGTCTGGAGCAGGTCTGTTTCATGGTTTTGTGGAGCGCCCCAAGCAGAGGAGGCATCGCTGTAAAGACCCCACAAAGCTGGATATCAACACTTTGACAGGGGAGGAGAGGGTTCCTGTGGTGCACCGAGGCACCGGGCGCAGGGTAGACAACATGCTAACACCTTACACACATCACTTAATCTGCATTTTAACATTTTTACTCCTTTTTGATGAAGTTCAGTGATGGGAAGTAACATCAGCTGCTTGTTCCTTCCCTTTGTTGCAGCTTGGTGGTGCTATGGCTCCAGCCATAAAGGAGCTTTCCAGATGGCTTGATGCCAACATGGAGTACTATGTAGCTCCAGACTGGGCTGATGTGGTCAAACACTCTGTGAGTAGAAGACACGTTATCAGTGTTTGTCAGAGTCACACGACCTCCTCGTACAGGCAGCAGTGTGAATCTAAACATCTAAACATTAAGTAATTATGTTAGCTGCCCTTTACAAAAAACAATTCTTTTTTTTTTTAACCTTCCACTTCGTCTTTTGCTTCTTCTCTGTTACCAGGTCGATATACTTTGTCAACACCAGCTGATTTATAATATGTAACTTTTTGACCTTTAACCTGCAGGGTTTCCTCCCTGAGGGGAAGTTTTCTCGGATCCTGACTGAACCAGTCAACAGAGACCCAGGCTCTCGACGCCGTGGACGACGGCCTCGCAGTGAGATGCCTAAACCCCTCCTGTCCGTCTCTGATTCCTCCTCATCTGCCCTCGGCCCCCCCCTCTTCATGAATGGCAGTTTAATCGGTAGCATGGACTCCATGGTGGCCATGCAGAACCTCCGTGGCAGTATTCCTGGAATTCCCATCTCTGGAATCATGGCAGCTGGATTCCCTCATGGTTTCCCTGCAGCCGTCCAGGCAGGAGGAGCTGGAGCAGCGGCGGAAGACGTCAAAAACGGGCTGAGTATGCTACCCATGATGCTGCACGGCATCCCGCACCCCCATGGGGCTGCGATCCAGCAACATGCCTTGTTCAGTGTTGGTGCAATGATGGCGCACACACCACCGCCGCCGCCTTCTCACCCCAGCTCCTCCTCCTCTGGATCTGGCTCCTCTTCTTCGCTTTCTGCTGTGAAGGTCATCACAACAACCGCACCCTCTGCATCGGAGGCTGCCAGCCCCTCGTCGACAACGCCTGCTGAGAGGGAGAGCACTGCCCCCTCAGCTGCTGTTGGTGAAAAGGAGAGGAGCCGGGAAGAGAAAGGAGCAGCGGAAACCAACAAAAGACCCAGCGGGGTGGAGGCAACAGCCATCGTTACCTCCACCAGCAGAGCCCATCTTAGCTCCGCGCATCTTGGAACCAGCACTGGCAGCCATCTGACCTTCAACCCCTTCCTGATTCCGGGAATGTCCCATGGCCTGCTGTACCCGCACATGTTCTTGCCACATGGTGGCATCATGGCGCTACCCGCCATGCCTCCTGGTGCAGTGGACGGCTCCCCAGAAAGCCCAAAGAGGAGGAGGAAGAGAGCGAGGGAGGAGGGGGAGAGAGAGGAGGAGAGGGAGAAGGTGGTGACAGACGAGGCTGAGGAGAGAGAAAGTACTGTTAAGGACTGTGTTACGTCCCACCCAGTCTTTTCCTCGTCTCCTTCTGCTCCCCCTACCTCAGCTCCAGACCCAGTCCCACCTCCTCCACCTGAAGAGCCCCAGCCTGGGCAGGGAGATGGACGGGATGGACCCTCAGAGCCCCAGGAACCAGACTCGCATAAGCATCCTGAGGGAGCAGCAACAGAAGAGAAGGAGTTATGTTTGGAGGAGAGTGGGGTAGAGGCAACACAGGCGGAGGTGCAGGACGCTGAGAAGCAGAGACAGATGGAAGGAGGGGAAGCGTAGAGGAGCAGACGAACTGCAGAGGACAGAGACAAGCCACCTCCTGCTCCCTCCTCCTGTCTTCTTCGTTGCTCTCTTTCTCGACTGAGCAACAGTGTAAAGTTTGTGCCGTGTCTGTCAGTCAATGTCTATGTAAAGACTTTTATTATGATGATGACTAATAATAACAATAATGATTATAGTCAACTTGGTCATGTTTATATACCAAGAGCCGACTCGCCCTCTCCGCTCCCTCCTTGTATACAAAAAACTAGTGTAAGAAATGACCTTCTATGTATTCTTTCCCTTCATTCTGCATCAAGACTGAGTCGGGGGTGGGGGTGGCAACACTTTTCAATAGGAACGCACACATACGCACTGCAGGCAAGATGTGCTAACCGAGGACATTGTTGGCAGTAGTACTGACACAGGTAGAAGGTCCGAGTATTTGCACAGTCATGAGCGAATATTGTGGCACAGCTGTCGTAGGTGGTTTTCTACAGTGCTTCTGAATTTCATGCCGAGGTTTGTGAGTTCAGAGAAGCAGAGCAGAGCAGCACTTGTGTATTTTATGTTCCAGGCCAGAAACAGAGCCTGTTCACCTGAGTACTGTCTTGTTATTGTGACATCTGGCACACTCCACTACCTTTGTGCAGTGTTGAAAAACCTGCAGGCTGTGTTCAGTTGGATGTGTGTCTTAGTAGGACTCATGAGTCTGAACCGGAAGTTTGTGACACTAAGACACCTTTTCCCACTTGCTACATTTGCAAGACACTGGTAAACATATGCAAGAGCTACTCTACCAAGAAAACAGACGGCAGCCAAAAGACATTTTATACAGTGTAGCCCTTTTAAAAATCTCTGAATTGTGTGAAATTAAAAAAAAAAACCTTTGGTGTATTGGCAAGAAGCTCAAAAAAGTCACAAGTGGTGGTAACAAATCCTAGGCATAAATATTGTAGAACTTTGACTACCGGTCGCTATGCGTTAGAAACTGTCATGCATATTTTAATTTTGACTCGTTTTATTGTCAGTGCTATGCCGTTGCTGCTATAACTTTCTTTTAGGAGTTCAGAGTTGATGTCATTTACACTAGAAGAAGAATCCAGAATTCAAGCACAGCTGTTGAGCTTTTCAGAACAAGAGCGCCACCTTTTATTTGCTTCTGTTGATAAAAGCAGAGAACAATCATGAGATAAATTTCTTTTACTGCTTTTTAGATATTAACATGTTAAGATTTAGTTTTAAACTGAAAGTAACTTTTAGCCACTTTGAGAGATTGTCCCTTGTGTTTAGGCCCAATCAGATGAAATGACCCACGGGACGTTGACATGCAGAGCCGAGTGTGGCCACCAGGGGGCGATAAGCGCAGAGTTGATTCTATCCTGTCCTGCAGACACTGGAGTGGAGGGATGGTAGAAAAGAGAAGAGTTGTAATGAGGCAATGGGACATTTCAACATCAGTGCAAGAGATGGCTGCAGTCATGACCTGTAGCATCATCTTTTTGTTTTTATTTTCTGACCATCCTGTTCTTGTTTTCTTGTCAGCGTGGGATTCAGTGTTCAGAGATGTTACTGGTGTTGTCCACCATCTGCCCAGTATATCTGTATTTTCCTAATGAAGAACAGATAAGAGGAGGAGGAGGGATACACTGGTGTGAATCTCTTGGGCCGAGTGCCTCGCTGTTGCTCTTTGTCTCCTTTCTTTTCCTCTATTAGTTTTAACAGGCGTTTTTATACTAAGTTTCTAAAAGTAGATATCTGTTGCTGTACATTGCTGTTTTTGTTTAAGGCACCGTTTATTTCTTTCACCTTTTGTTGTCTCCATTGGGAAAAAAAATACTTGACAAATGCGAGGGGGGTTTTGCATCGACGGTAGTCCCAGTGTTTCTGTATCAAACACACTATACTGTACGTTAAATAGATGCAAGTCGCGCTGGTTTTATTCGGCGTTTCACAACAGGGTCTGTGTTTCGGGGGGACGTGTCACATGTTTATGATGTTGGACTTCACTCTTTGTTTTCATACATGAAAACATTATTTTTGCACAGTGTCGTTTTTTTTTTTTTTTTTGTAAGTGTTAACCCGTTTCTGTACCGTCTTTACTTTCTTTTATGTGTGTCTAAGAGTGTGTGATGACGGGAGAGTGTGGATGTGTGCATGCATGCGCACATGTTTCGTTGTGGAGCTGTGGTTCGACTGCTGTCCTTACGAGTCACATCTGTTCTTGGACAAACACACAGTTGTTGCCTTGTCACAAGTTTGTGGCTACATATAATTTATTATATGATTCTGTTGCTTTGACAAACTTTCACCAAATATGACATTCTTTCTCTTTTACCTTTATTATGTATTATTCAAAGTAAAATGCCTTATTTAGCTAGTGTTTTTGTATAGATGTTCTGTTACATCTCCATATAGGGACGTGTTACTGTGTTTATGTTCAGCCTGTTCTTCTCTTGTATGTGTACACAGCCTTGGTGATGTGCATTATCCTCGAAAGCCAACAGGAATGCGAAGGCGCCACTGTCCAGATCACTAGGTGAAAAGTCAATCAGTCATCCCTGAAAGCACAAATGGAGAGTTAGCTAAAGTGGTTGTTTTCTTGCCAGTGCCTCTAAAATTACTTTACATGGTTTCTCTTTTTGTGGGCTTCACTTGTGCACTTTGTTAACATCTGGTTTCCATAGTGACATCATCACTGGAGCAGTGATCGACATTTGTAAATCTTGGATTTTAACATTAGCAGATGATGCCGTGTTGTTCGTTAAAGGGAAACTGTCCGTTATGAGTATTAGCCACGACAGCATTCTGCTCACTCCAACAAGATGTTGATTGGAGCAAGAGGCCTCCTGCGGCTTTATATGACCCTTTTTATCAAACACTTGTTAAAGTCCAACCAAAACAAAACCACTCAGAGTAGCTCTGCTGTAAATCCCGGGCACCTGCTGCAGTGGCCCACACAGCGGAGCTACCCTTGGGTGAACGTGTTGTGGTCCAGAAACCAGTCGGAGCAGTAGCGGTCACCTCACGGAGATCAGCCATAACAAGCAACCAGTGCCCAGTAGGATGGGCGAGAGGCTCGGCCAAGCTGATGGCCAGTAATGAATGGAATCAATCAGAAACACACTACGGGTTTTAGTCACTGTTGGGACTTTGTAACTATACAACACATGGACAGGAAGGCTGTTCACAGCTGCTCTGCTGTTTGGCGCCTCTGCTGCACTAACTGTTGGTTGGACTCAGAGACAAGTGTTTGATATCTACGACCTTCTTATTAGTGTTTGGTTTCTCATCCCCACAACAAAAGTGAAGAGCCAAATGTTACTGGAGCAGCACTCTAGACCCCCTTTAAGGACGGCAGCTTACCTTGTTCCCTCCTCTTTCTGCCCGAGGCCTTCGGCTTGGTATCTGTCACGCCTGTGATGATAATGCACACACAATATGTCTTGTGTGTTTGTTGACATTCCTAAAAAACCATTAGTCTGTCAGAAGGAGAAACTAGTTGTTATGCACCACGGCTAAATTAACTTCTCAAATCTTTCAAAAGGAAAAGCCCAGCTTTTAACTCCACACCCTATGCGCGCACGTTGTTTCCTGTTACCAGCTTGTTGTGTGGATGCAGTAAGTGGCAGCAGCCGGAGGCTCCGTCCCGTCTGTGTCACAACACGCCCCCTTTACCAGTGTTCTCTCTTTTCACTGAAATCATTTTGGTTAACTTAAATGTTTTTCTGAACAGTCACCTCAAAATGTTGTATAAGCATTTGTCTCAACATGAATAATGTATTTATTGTACAGATGTTGTTCTCACATTGTTGTATCATGACTGAATGATGCCTGGTTTTGTTATTCTTGAACGTCTCCTGAAAGACAAAAGCGTTTTGGTTATGATGGAGTTCAATGACCTGCCTTGTTCTGGAGCCCACACCACCTGCTAATCTGCTTTTTAGATGTGATCAGGTGGGAATGAATTATTTCAACACACAGTTATTACTGGACTGAGAGAACCTTCAGTGTTTTTTGCAGAACCTGAGCTGCAGCAAACAGTTGCTCCATTTAGAAACCTGGATTTATGTTTGTTTTTTTTTAGTGTATTTTGACTGAAAACCTGCCGTCTCTGCAGCAGACATGACAGTTAGTCTGCGCTGCTTCAGAAACTGCAGACTTGAATGAGAACTCACAATCACTGCTCTAAGTTTTCACCTTTTGTTTTTTGTTTGGTTGGGAAACAACAAACAAAAGCAATCAGACATATGGTATCAGATGATCAGTCATACATATCCAGTTTCAGAATTGGCATCAACAGCATCCACGTTTGCTGATTAATGATGCTGGACTTCATTCCTGTTTTTATATGTATGTTTTTTTTTTTCCCTCCTGCACAGAATTAGTTTTGGTCACAGATGAAGCCTGAGAAGTGTTTCTTACCATCCTGTCACTAGTTGTCCTGATTGGTTCACGCTGGGGGGTAACCAAACCTTCACATGCTTGTTTGATTTGCACGTGGTTCTGACCGCCGACGTCACCACCACCACACTGTGCTTGGTGACGTGAGGTCCCCCTGCTGGGTTTCGTGTGTGGCCTTCATTCAGAGCAGCCACTGTTAAATCCTCCCTGCTGAAGTGTGCTTAAGCAAGACACTGATCGCCTGTCGGTTGTTTGACCTTTGACCTCCCCGTAGGGGGAGGCCAGCTTTGGTTTGTGGTGGGATAAAGAAAAGGGCGATAGAACCAGGTCACGTGACTCTTTAACATGCAAACACATGCCCGAGGTTGAGCTTCAAACAGGACAAACAGATGTGTCACATGGATGTTTCAAATTTGATGTTTTATAAAAATAAATACATTTGAAAATCTGTTTTGCCTTGTAAAGAAAATCTTAGAAGAATGAGAAAATCCTCGTGTCAGTGCGTTTCCATCTTAATGCATGACAGGCTGGTTTCACAGACACTGAATCGCTGTCTCGGCGGACCTGGCAGATTTGTGGTAAGAGTTACAACTTCTGGGTATTTTCCTTTCTCGTTCTGATGTGTAGTTTAAGAATTCACTGCCACTGTTCATATGATTTCAGCGTACAGTAACAAAAACCTCCTGTTTCTGCAAAATACGAGCCTGTCAGAGGTGGAGTAAATATACAGGAATTATCTCTGACTGAATCAAGCCACACGTCTGATCAGACATTTCTCTTGAGTTACCTCTTTCTGCATTGTTCCCATTTGTCTTTTCAAGAGACATCAGCGGTTGGAGCACAGCTCCACAGCCGTGCAACGTAGAAACAGAGCCACTGAAAAAGAGCTGGAAACTAAAGATTTGCATTGGACAACAGCAGGTATGGACAGTTGATCAGTGAGGAGAGTTAAGGACGTCATCGCCGCCTCTGAATCAAGTCTGTGAAACCACCCACCTCTGTGTAACGACAGTGGGGCGGGTTGAATGACATCTGACTGGCCCCGTTGAACCCAGTGCAGTGTAGGTCACAAGGACGTTCCCATAAAAACTGCAGAAAAGACAGAATCTGGTCGTCAGGCAAAAGAAGCTGTGGTGGGGATATATTATTTTTCTTTCCTTTTTCTGATTTGTAATTTTAGCTCTCTGTATCCCCATGTGGACCAATCTCATGAGTCAAAACATGGTATGTGTGATCTTTTATTGTGCAATAAAAGATGACTTTCAACTTTCATCTGTCCTCGGTGAGTAATTCATTAAATCTGTCTCAAATCCTGCTTTATGAATATTGTCCACCTTCCAGGTTTATTGCCTGTGCTGACCCTGAGGTGGACGAGCAGCCTGCTGCAGAGGACTGAGCAGGTAGAGAGACAACTGTCGCACACAGCCAGTGTTGCTGCCAGGGTAGTGTGTAGCAGTGGCAGGAAAAATACTGCTACAAGTCCTGCATTTCAAATTTTAGTTGAGTAGCGAGTCTTAGCTGCACATTACTGGACTAAAAGTAGTCAGAACGCTGAGTGGCCCGTTTCAGCAGCAGGTCATGCATTAATGTATAATCATTTTATAGCTGCAGCTGGTGAAGGTGGGAGTAAAGTGCAGCTGAGTGGCTTCATATATAATAAACAGAAATTTATGGAACGGTGGTTAGCACTGTCGCCCCACGCCAGGAAGGTTCCAGGTTCGAGCCTGGGGCCTTTCTGCATGTTCTCCCTGTGGGTTCTCTCCGGGTGTTCTGGCTTCCTCCCACAGTCCAAAGACACGCAGCTTAGGCCAACTGGTGACTCTAAACTGCCCGTAGGAGTGTGTGTAATTGTTTGTCTACATGTCATCCCTGTGACAGACTGGTGACCTGTCCAGGGTGGACCCCACCTCTTTCCCAGTGTCAGCATCCCCCCGCAACCCTGTTCAGGACTAAGCAATATGGATAATGGATGGATGCAAAGTAACTAAAGTGAAATGCCCTGTAACTGTATAAAGTTTAATACAAAGTGAAAGTCCAATAAGTGCAGTTCAGTACTTGTAACTAAATCTACTTACAGTCCACTGATGGTGGCTAGTCAACTGATGTGTACACATCCTGTTTAACTTTCTGGTAATGAGTCATTTTTCTGCTTTTTAAAATGTAATTTGCAGGTAGGAAATGTTTGAAAAGTGAAAGTTTTTACAAGATCTGATTGAGTACTGCTTTAGTGCTGTATTTAAATGTGAGATTTCCTTTTTTGCTTCATACTGAAATATAGTTGTGAAGTTATTTGCAATTCAGACATCGAAACAAATTATTTTGAGCCAAACAGTCTCGTTTTAACCCACAGAGCAGCACCTGAGCACTGACACTGAACATGGAAGTGCTGCTGAAACAACAGTTAGTTTGTGTCACTTCTCGCCTCTTTTTCATTTTTCTTGCACTTTTTGATCTGCACATTTTCAGTTTTGAGAAAAACAACCAAAAATTGCTCCATTAGCAGCAAAACCACTACTGGTTTCCAGACCAAAGGAAAGGTGCCAGAGAGGATCAAAAAAATAAATAAATTGCTGCAACATGTTGTTTACTTGACAGATTCTTCAGATTCAAAAACACCAAAACAGTAATTGTATGTGCACACCAGTATGAGCAGAGATATTTTACTGTTGCCCTGTTTGGAAAGAAACCTCTGCTGTCGAAACTGCAGTCTCAGTGTTTCCAAAGGCGTCATTCCGGCTTCTCCGCCAAACGCCACAGGCCTGCATCATTAAACACACTGTGGCAGCTGCATCAATATATACATTTATTGAAACATACATTTATGTTATGGAATAAAGTCCCATATGTCCTACACAAATACTGATAAATATTCAGTTGACAGAAGCCAGCCACTAAACAAACAGCTGTGGAAGAGAAGGAAGAATACCCACATCTTCAGTCACGTGCAACATCAGAGGAGACAGGCGGACACTGGACAGACGGCTTTCATTCTGACAGTACAACGTCTCAGCCGCCTGGTTCACGCACAGCACGTTGAAAAACGCTTAAACAGTGACGGTGAACTTTAGTAACATGTTCGACTGTGTGGGAATTCCTTCTTTTTATGAAGAACACGACACCATAGGAAACAATAGGCAACATTTTTGTCTATAACAACATCTGTCGATCAGAAACAGCCTGGCAAAGTGACATGAGAGGGTTCAACGCCTCCAATGACTGGCTCCTCTGTGGTTACAGCTACAAATCCACGTGATTTCTGTTTATGTTGCTTTCTTTTTAGTTTCCCAGTTCACTCTTCTGCATCACCCAGGGGCGGATGTAGAACATTTTGAGTGGGGTGGTCAGGTTGGCACATTTGAAAAACATGGAAGAAAGTAATTTTTAATGCTTAGCACCCATCTCTGCCCCCAAGGTTAATCATGTCTAGTACTCCACAGCTGGAGAAATCCAAATATCACGCGGCATGCATGATATAAAATTGGACCAATTTGAAATAGTTTGACCAGAAGAATGTTTGTCGTATTTAAGGCAACAATTTGACTCTATATTTAATTTTTCATTAATACTGACAAGCATCACATTGTGCCTCTGGCAGGTACTGGCCACCTCCACAATCCAATTGGCCACCCTTGGCCACCCCTTGGATCCGCCCATGAGGACGCCTTCAACAGCAGGTAGGACACATTCATGACTGTTCACTGACTGCACAGGAAGAGGAAGCTGCTTCTCAAACAGTGAGGCTTATTATCTGTCACCAGTATAGTATACACTGTCTCAAACATGTTGCCTACCTGATCACCTGCAGGTGATACCACACAGTTCAGACCAAAGTGCACATGTCAAAGCCAGACTGACGACTTGTTCCTAACTGTTCAAAGGCTGCTGCTGACAATTAAGAGACATTTGCAGATTCTTAAGATTCTCAACTCTACACTTGAGACCAGATCCGTCCATGAAGGCACAGTTGTTTATCGACTACCACCAAGTTGCTACAGTTCTTGGCTGGAAATTCAACTCCAAAGTCCCATCCATCACAAGGTAATCCTAACATTTCATTCTGAGTTTGCTGTAAACACAATTCTGGTGAGTGGCTGTGTTTTAATACAATTGTAGATTGATTAGACTCGGCTGATTAGAAATGTTAAACAATGATTTGGTCTACATCAGCTGAATGACATTCCAACATCTATCTGGCATCCTGGTGAACTCTGTCTGTCAGCCTCAGGGATCTCCATGCTCTCCGGTGGTGTCTCTTGTTCTGTTGGGCGAGCTGGTAGCCACGTCGTCGACCTGTAGCCGCTTCTTCTCCCTCTTTTTTCCACGTCCCTCTTTTCTGTTCATTCTTTTTTCTGACAGATAAAATGATAAAAAGCAAAGAACCAACAGTAAGTAGTCACATATCTGTATTTGCTTACAGCTGTGTTACTGCGTATCATCACTTATAAACTTGAAGCACACGTGTAAAAGCACAGAAATGCTGCTGTCGCTGCAGGCACACTGGAAACCTGGAGTCCTCTGGGACCAGACAGCTTCAGCCCCGATGTGGTGATTTGGACATCTGATGTAGGTTTTTGCATCAGGACTTTAATATTTTATTCTTTAAAATACAGATACACCTAGAATTAAAGCCACAGAATCTGGATGTTTAGATAAAATTTCAGATTCAAAGAATGAAAGATACTTGAAATATGATGTGGTGGACATAAATGAAACCTTTATCAGATAATTAATATTTAAACAACTTACACATGATTTATTGGTGATGATGCATCTGATTTGGAATTAATAATTAATGACTCCTTGACTGGTCTCATAATGTGATATTCACACAGTTTATTTTACACTATACTGTAATATGGTATCTTTACTTTTCTATTAACTTGCACAGCCTGAAACTCCACTATGCTGTTTCGCCTTTGTACTGTACCACCCCAAGATCTTCACCAGCCCCCCGACTAAATCCTTTCTGCAGGTTCCACTGCCGCCACAGTGGTCCTCAGGTTGCTTCTCAGTTACAGCAGGGGACCCTGAAACGCCCTGTTCCAGACAATAAAACTGTTTTGAGTCCGTGTGTTTGCATTTCAAGGTTAAAACTACTGTATAAACCCTGTAGTAGACTGTGTATGAGCACGTTAAGATGTAAACTAATTTACTATCAAAAAGAAAATGTAATGTAGCTTCTTGTGTTCGTTGCTGTTTGAGGACAGGCTTGAACGCTGCTGTCCTTCAGCAGTAGGGGCCTGGAGTGCATCTTCTTCCATTCTAGCCGTTATGCGATGCAGGCAGTGGCTTCCACCGTGCTACACTGTGTCAGATCAGAGTTT